GGCAGCTTCCTGCCGCGGGCGGGGCCTGCCAGGCTGGGTCCCTCCTCAGCGGTGGCTCTGGACCAACATCCCACCCTACCTCAGGCGGCTGTGGGGTCCACTTCCTGTTGCTGTGACTACACACCCGAGAAGATCAACGGAGGAGGAGGAAAGGTGTGTCCTGGCTGGTGGCTTCAGAGGTCTCAGTCTGGTCACTTGGCCCGGTTGCTTTGAGCTTGTGGTGGCTCAGGACATTCTGGTGGCAGGAGCACATGGTGGAGGAAGGCTGTGGCAGTGGGGAGCCCAGGGAGGGAGGAGGGGCCTGGGTCCCAATGTCCATGACAAGGGCACGCCCTGGGAATGGCTTTCTCTGCTCGGCTCCTCTCCCTTAAGGTCCCGCAGCAGTGCCACAGGCTGGCAAACAAGCCTTCAGGGGACGTTTAGACCCACACGTAGCATCTCACCCGAGTTCCCAGGGTCCTGTGTCCAGCTCACAGTGTGAAAGGCGTCCAGTCCATCTCCAGAGTCCCTGAATCGTAACAGCTCAGCATTGTTCCAAAGTCTCCTCTGAGACTCAGGTGACTCTCAGCAGTGAGCCCCCAAACCATAAGCAAGTTACTCCTCCCGGCACGCAATGCTTCAGGCAGACGGGGCAACGCCCTTTCTACACAGTCAGAACCTTGCCGCCTGGGGATCCGAGACACCTGCCCTTCAGTGAGGTCCCCAGCTTTGTGCAGGAGGGGCAAAAACCCTTCCCATGAATCTTCAGCTGGGGGAGCCTGGGACCGCAGTTCTGGACCCCCTGGAGCAGTGTTTAAGGGGTTCTTGCTTCGACTCTGCCCAGGCTGGGTTTGGGGATATAAATCTGGAAACCCACAAGATCCTGTGTTTTCCAGTAGCTGCACTCCACCTGGGAACTTTCCAGAAATACAGATTCTTGGGGCCACCCCAGACCTACCGGCTCTGGGCCCCAGCGCAGCGGAGGCTGACAGCTCTCCTGGGAAGGCCGAGCAGGCTGCGAGAACCGGCCCAGCCCTCCCCAGAGCCTCCCAGGCCCTGCGCCTCCCAGGGTGAAGGACAGGCAACCAGCCTCACCGGTGACAAACCCCCCTTCACTCCAAGGCCCTCTCGTCACGGGGTCCCGGAAACCCCACAGCCCTGATCACTTCTCCACACCACCCAGGAGCCAGAAAATGGAGCCTTGTTGGACAGCCCCTCTGCTCCAAGTGGCCACCACAAAGGAGACAGGGCAGGCTGGCTCTCACGAAGTTCCTGGTCCACCTGTACCTCTGGGCAGTGCACAGAGCAGGTGGTCACGGCCGACACCCACGGAGCAGCCTTTCCCGAGCGGGCCCTACTCTGAGCCAGTCCCGTGCCTGTCATGAAGCCCAGGTGGGCGAGGAGGTGAGTCATGGCTGGTGAGCCGAGTGTGTGGGGCGGGTTTGCGGGGGTGGACTTGGGGATTCGTGCTTCTCGCCTGCAGAGATGAAGCCACAGCGGCTGGTGGCCGGGAGGCTTGCCAGTTGCCAGCCAGGCAGCTCTGTGCAGCTCCTTCAGGCAGGACAGCCTGCGGGGAGACGTTCAACTGGACCTGAGGGCTGAGAAGCAGGACGGTGGGGACAGGTGGGAGTCATCCTCCCACCCCGGGGACCCACTCCACATGGAGCCTGTGGTCCTCCTCACAGCCTTCTTGTGACTTGTGGGCAGTAACAGCTCAGCACACAGTCACCCGATGACCCTGGGCCTCTGCGGGCTGTGGGTGCCTGAGTGTGGGGAGGAGCCTGCATCACCTGAGGGCCAGGGGAGCTGGATCCAGGAGGCCAGGCCCCGTGGCTGGAGGCCCTACCCAGGAGCCTTGTCTCCAGCTGTGGGAAGTGTTCCTTCCACCGAGCCGCGAGACACCTCCCCTCCTGTCCTTCTCACATCCTTCCCAGTATCAACTGCAGAGGACCACCTCTGGGACCCGTGCAGAGCCTCTTCTGCAGACGAGCATCCCAGGCAGCCCTTCAGAGGCAGACAGTTCTCACAAAGGTGTCCAAATGACATGGCCTGCACAGTTCCAAATCCCACCCCTGTCAAAGACCACACCCAGAGCCTCCGGTCTACGCTGCTCAGGCCTCAGCCTGGAGATCCCTGGCCTGGGTGGCTCTCTGGGGTCTTAGCTGAGTTGTGAGGTCACTGCAGGCAGGACCTTCTTCACCCCCTCCAGATACTCATGCTTCAGCAGGAGCTGGACATGTTGAGACCACCTGTTGAGGAGTGTCAGAGGTGTAGGCAGAGCACCCCGAAAGAGCTTGGGTAGGCCATGGTGGGTGGCACTGGTGTGGTGATGCTGGGTGTGGGGGGCTATTGCATGACAGTCACAAAGGCCAGGGACAAAGCGCTTCCCAGGCAAGCTGACCCTGCAAGCTCAACTGTCTACAAGCAGGTGGGCACCTCATTTCTGACCTGTCCCTGAGCATGCAGGGCTCAGAGACACGCTAAGGTCCCCACATTGATGAGGAGTACTGTGATGACCATGGTGGCAGGCCGGCCTCGAGCGGACCCCACCACTGCCCTCCTGGTGTTCTGACTCCTGTGTGGGCCCTCCCTTGGAATGTGGACTGGACATAGCAATGGCTTCCCACCACCAGAGCAGAGCTGGGCGAGGGGGCGTGGCTTGTGATGAGGGGTGGGGACAGTGGGCGGGCTCGCTGGCTGCACAAAGCCAGCCGTGCAGGAAAGGCCCAGATGGCCAGGGCTCAGAGTGGCCTGCAGTCAGCAGCTCTCAGGGACCTGGAGTCATGAAGAGATGAGTCACCATGTAGGAGAAGGGAGGAGGGCTGGGAAGCAGAGGCTTCCCCAGGCAGCCCTCCTTGGGGGACAGCAGCCCTGCCACGCGGGGAAGGACCCAGAGCCCAACGACCCCTGGCCCCAGAGCTGCGAGGTGCCCGTGTCTGCTGTCTGGAGCTCGGGTCGAGGCTCATCTGCTCCCAGCAGCACAAGTGCACCCACCCAGGGCCAGCGCCCACTGTGGAAAGAGCCTTGCGAGCAGTCCTGCCCTGAAGGGGTTCTCAGTCTGGAAGATTCTAGTTTGAAATGAACTGGGGAAGGCCCAGAGGGTAGTGAGATTTCTGTGCTGTTGAACATGTCAGTCCTCAACAGATGCCTCGGAGCTGGCTTCTCCCAAACCTGCGTGAGTGCCATTTGTTGATGTGGGGAGAAAAGGAGGCGGGCAGGGGGCTCTGAACCAGGCACGCGTGGGACACAGCTGAGCAGTGATGTTTTCCTGGCTGAGGCACCGAAACAGATCCACGTGCTCCAGGGAGGCTGCTGGCTCCCGGCAGCCCCACTCGAGCGGAGCCAGGGCTGCCTGTGGATGTCCCCAGCCTGCTCCAGGGGAGCCGGGGAGGTGCGTGAGCCAGGCCCAGCTCCCCAGACGGCCAGCTTCCTCAGGGGGACATGAGCTGCAGGCTGGACACCTGTCCAAGCTGGGGCATAGCCCTAAGCCCCTGGAGAAGCCCACGGGTGGAGAAACGTCCCTCCCTCTCTGAGGCAGGGCTGGATGGGTTCCTGAGCCCAGGATGAAGGGCAGCCACCCTTCCTTCTCATCTCCCTGGCCACCATCTCAGTAAGTCCAGACGGGCGTCCATAATCCCACGTGGGCCTCGGGGCTTGCGTGGGGCTGTGTCAGCATGCGCCGGGCTCTGTCTTCCGTGTTCTGTGATTTGGGGACGCTGCTGCAGTGCATAGGTCTCGTCTGGTCAGCCACACGGCTTCCACATGAGCTCCTCGGGTTGCTTTCTGTGAAGT